AAATGAACCTGAATGACTTGTGCAAGCCTCTGATCAAAATCACGATTATCAGTATCGAATCTGGTCAATGAAGCCGCATTCTGATGGTGTGATATCGCCGTATCAATACCACCTCCGACCGAATAAACATCTGACCCCGTATCCTACAAAATTATTTTGATGACCAATTCTCGCAATTCAGGCTCAACAAACTTTAAAAATTGAATTGACCGACTTGTGCTAAGTAATTTTACGTTTCAATTAAGTTACTCATTGAAATGCAACTGTTACTTATTAAGTTACTTATTCCCGTGGGAACTGTACCCCCACAGTCGTTCACGGTAACACTATCCTCTACTCCAAGATTATCTTTAACTACCAGTGTATTCCCAATGTCAGCCAGCGAAAATGTCTTCGTCCTCTCGCAAAAAGTTCTTATCGTTTGACGTGCTCCCAATATCGTCAACAATACCCTCGATTTCCATATCTTATCGTTACATCTCCCTTGGTCAACCATTCTTACCAGCTCGCGGTTAATCTCTACCACATCGCATTATAACTGCTTCTGTTCCCGTGCTTGACACACAAATATGTCCAAAAAGTTAACCTGAAGACCAGAGCTTTTCGATCCACGAATACTGTTTGCCGTACTCGAGCCATTCACGAGCTCTTTGGATATTTTCCCACCAATTCGTTCGGCATTATTCAACGGTTTGTTGGTGTTATCAATAAGCAAAGGCGATGTTAGCGCTTGCAGCGATGCAGATTTACGTCTCGTTTCGACACTATTCGAGTGATCACCGTAATTCTGCAGTTTTTAACGGTTAATTTCATTTTGGTTGAATTTCAGTGGGAATGTTAAATTGATTCCCTAAAGAAATTCTGAGTGCGATAGCTTGTGAAGGGAATAAACGCCATTGATAAGATTGATGTGGTACTAATAAGAGAAGCACAATACTGGCTACTGGTATCTTCAACGATTATTAAATTAAGCGATTCGTTAAGGAAATGCACAAAATTGAGGTAGAACATCAATGACTTTGCAATGAAACAGCTGGAAAATGTAACACAACACATTCTTTGCAAAACGAATCACCGAATCTTCACGGCGGACTGTGATTAAATACAGAATTGAAGTAAGAGCTCGGGAATGATGCGAAAAGAGACATTCACACTGAATAAAGCACAATGGAAGTTACCTTATCTAGACATTCACTGTAATGAAGGAATTGCGCAGAGTTAGTCTCGCGATTCCTCTCCAAAAGTTTCATTCGTAAACTTCCACCCGACGGCACATTACCGCGTGTTAGAGGCATCGATGAGCCTTGTGCGGACTTCAATTTATTCGTCAGTTTCTGCAATTTTATCACTCTGAGAAGTTTCGAATGAGTTAACAAGCGATAAGAAGTACCACAATAACTTTATTCTAATGATCTATCAAGAAATCACGAAACATCAATAATAAGTGCATTTCAATTACCGACACAAGTGACAGATTCAAACAAGTACCTTTCTGAATGACGTTACCTTTCTAAAACTCATTTGTGATCTACTAATCGGCGTATCAGCAGCGCCTTCACGTGCCGAATCTGAGCAAGATGCAGTCCCGTCCACTTCTTGCACACGTCCAGCAATGAAATATGTTTTCAAGCCTGAAA